AGAAATGATTTTTCCACTTGTATACCCACTGAGCTACCAAGACAGGTACAGCTCAGCAGGCTCGGCTATATAAAAGTCTGCAATACGTATAGGCATTCAAATTGTGACATGCTTGATCTATGATGGCCAAGTGCCAAGTTCGAAGGCTCAACAGTCTAGCACTCGAATTGGCGTTTGCCAAGGAAGCCACACCCTTACCAAAGCCACATGAGCTACCAAAACACTCTGGTGTATTGTGTTCCATTCAAGGCTGCATTTACACACACACACACACACACACACACACACACACAACAGTAAGTACAGTGGGGTCCTTCAAGAAAAACCTCTGAAATGAGGACACCATTAGTGTCTAGATAGAGGGGCTCCACTGCATACAACTATAGTGAATGTTATTTCATGTGACTAACTTTTCAATGGCCTCTAGGAAATATTCTTCCAGGGCATCTCTCTGTGAAAGTGAAACGAAATGCAGCAGTATATATATATGTAAGGGCCAAATTTAGAAAATGCTGCTAAAAACGGAAGCCTAACTTCCACTGTGCCCTATTGTTTAGTTCCATCTTTAGTAACGTTTCTATATTTAGCCCTTACGTACTGACACACTCCCTCGCAAGAAAGATTCTGGTTAATACAAAGCTTACACACAAACGAAATAATGCAGATCAGCCCAAACTCCCATTCCTAGTAAGAGATTCCTCTGCATATAGGTATGTTAACTCTTTTGATGCCATGGGTCTGCTTCTTCTTGATATATAAAATATTTGTGCCTAGTATTATAACCCCCATATAAAATCTAATGCACTTATGGATGCTGTGGACACATTTATGTGTTCGTGGCTGATTAAGTGCTTTTTTAACTCACGGCCTCTCCAGCGAAGACGAAAGAGATGACAGCAGATGCAAACTCCAATATCACGACGAGAGACAGAACAATGGCATACTGCGCGGCAAGAGGCGAAAGAAATACAGTTGATAGAATCCTACGTGTACTGTATAATTGAGTGGGGGTGGGGAGGGTGCAAAGTGAGCAAATTTTATGAAGAAGAGGGGGAAATCCCTTTGTCGGTGTGGATTTCACGTAAACAATAGTGCATAACATAGTGAATACTGGTGAAGTAAGGGTTAAAGTTTAGTGTTCTAAGGGTTAAACCATAGTCACCTAACAGTGATCTAAGGTAGTGTTCTAATTGTGACCTAAGGGTTTTAAACCAAAGTGACCTATATTTACACACTAGTGGTATAAGGGTTAAACCACAGTGACCTAAGGGATAGTGACCTAAAGGTTAAGCCACAGACACCTGAGGGTTAAACCATAGTGGTATAAGGGTTAAAAACTACTCACTATGACAAGGAAGAGCCGGTTCATGAGGATTCCTCCAATGATGCCGCACACACACAGCCCGAGGGAAATGAGAGAAGAGACGAGAAGAATAGCGGCACCGGCCGTCGAGTTTCCGCCATACTCTGTGTTAGCCACAGCCAGACTCCATATACTGATGATCAAACCCACCACAGAGAGAACCTACGTACGATTTAGGAGATGTAGGGGGAGGGAGAGAGGGAGAGAGAGAGAGAGAAGGGAGAGAGAGACATGTCTACAAAGCAGTCATGGGTGTCTGGGTGTAGTTGACTTGTTTGCCTTGCCTTGAGAGAAGGGAGAGAGGGAGGGACTACTATGTACGTAGGATTTTGGGGGTGGGGGAATACACACGCTGTGAATTCCCATCTACATGCGTACCAGGTAATTATACGACATTCATGACAGAATTGGAACTTGCCGAATTGTGGAACGGATACACATGTGGGTCACATGACGACTCTACTAACATTGCACCATACTTGATACACGCATGTAGCTACTCCATTTTGCTACTACAGTCTATTCCCAAAAGGCATATAAAGCACTGCTACCTACGTCAATAAGTACATAATTATGGTCATAACACAGGTAGTACAATACTACGTAGTGTTCAATTCCCAAAAGACATATTATGACGTGGTGAAATCACCAATGCAAGGCACCAGAACATGTGTATGTCCAAAATGGTGGTCTCCATTTAGAACAGCTATAGCGACTACAGCGTGCTCTACTGAAAAGTCATGTGATACGGCTCTAAGGACTAGTCTCGTGCCCAGACCCCGCCCTCAACTAAGAGAGGAAAGGGTCTGGTGACTATTGAGCATTTCAGTCTTGGTTGTGCTGACTCGACAGTCTTACTTTTGAGACACCGAATCAGATTGCAGTATCACATGATGTCATGCTATCTTTCGTAACAAAGCTCCCGAACGAAAACGGAACTTTCTGCACATGCACTCGACAATGATGAGCCAGCACAACCAAGAAAACGCTCAACAGTCACCAGACTACAAGTTGGAGGAGTGTTGTCACTACAATACCCTAGTGAGTGATAGTGTGTTACTTTCACTGGACCCTCTCGAGGGACACCCATGAAATGAGGACACCTCTCAAAAAAGGAAACCTTTTCTTTCCCCAAGAACAGTTTAAAATCCATGACCTCTGAAACAAGGACACCTCACTAATATGGACACCTTCTTACGTCCCATTGGTGTCCTGATTAGCTATATAAGAGTTCCACAACAACGCCATGCGAACTTCTGCAGCACTTCCACGCATGTATCACTGTAATCTATACTTCCCGTCACTCCCAAGATATTACACTTTTTCCCATAATGACAACACACTTTGGGAGGCTATATACCAAGTTGGCTGGACTTTCATGCTTCTACAAACGTGGAATGCTGTGGAGCTCCTCCAACCAATGGTGCAGAAGGAAGTGTCCATATTAGTGTGTTTTTCAAGTTCTCTCTTGGCCTGCGTGTTTCTCTGAAAAGAAAGAGCTGTCCCGGGTGTAGTTGACTTGTTTGCCTTGCCTTGCCTTTCTATGACCTCGCTACCAAGTTGTTGAGACATGCATATAGCTATAGCCTCTCAAATCCAGACACCAGTGGGACAGAAGAAAGCGTCCATATTAGTGAGGTGTTCTCATTTCAGGAGCTAAATTGCATGCAAGAACTGTTCTTGGGGAGAAAAGGTGTCCTTATTTAAAGAGAGGTGTCAATGCATACAAGAAGTAGGCTTTAACCCCCTCTTATACCCACCGCCCTTTAGACTTCTAATAAAGGCCTTGACCTCCAGAATCAACACTGGGAACCTAGCAAGTACTAAGGTCAACCGCCAGATTATTGCTACTTGATTCCCAAGGGACACAATAATTATGCATAGCCATGGCATTTGGCACAGGTGTGGTGGTATTGCTTGTGTATGACACACCCAACACAACGACAAAGTCGGGGTAGCTGTTTAAAATTATACTACTACACACTTCCCAGATCCCTTCACAATGACACTCTAAATAAAGAACGTAAGGGTATAGCTACTTGACTATCAAACATAATTATCATCTATTGTTTATCGTTTCTAAGGACGTAATAAAGGATGCTCATTTGCTTAATCAATCCAGCAAAAGTAGACAAAGGTTTCAGCATGTCCTAAATAATAATTAGGAGGTTCCACTGGATTATACAAAACATTTAGCAAATGTATGGCTACAATCCCATAGCATGGGTAAATATTTTTAAAGGAAGCAAGATCACTTTCGAGAAATGGTGGGAGGAAAGGAAGTTATTGGTGGGGCAAAAAGAATATTATTGGTCTAGACATCTTACAACCATTATATAGCTATCACTTTACTCTAGAGGTTGGACCGATGCCAGAAATACAAATTTTACCATTTAGTGTGAGGTGCAAAGGATTACCCACAGTTGGCAAGTGAAACGGCGGCCCACTTAGTCGTATAAGTGCAGGGATTTTTTCCTATATTACAATTATTATTATGCCCATAGTCGTATAAATTCAGGGACCCACTTATTTCTTACCACTAAACATAAAGGCAACTACCTTTCATCGAGACAGTATACATTGCAAGTCATTCTTGCAAACCCGCTAGAAACCGCCCCTTTTCTAGTTGTGTAACGGTGTCAACTAATACACCCACCTACATTCCTTATTCCATTACCATTTAGTGTGAGGTGCAAAGGATTACCCACGTACAGACTATAGTTGGCAAAGGCCCACGGCCCACTTAGTCGTATAAGTGCAGGGATTTTTTTCTATATTACAATTATTATTATGCCCATCATGTCGTATAAAGGCAGGGACCCACTTATTTCTTACCACTAAACATAGGCGACTACCTTTCATCGAGACAGTATACATTGCAAGAAACCCGCTAGAAACCGCCCCTTTTCTAGTTGTGTAACGGTGTCAACTAATACACCCACCTACATTGTATATGGTAAAGTATAGCGTGCAATGGTAACGGTAAAACAAATAGAGACACCATACGTATAAGGACACATCACCAGCACAACTTATCGATGAAAAAGACAAGCGAAAGCATGTAGCTAGCTGCGCGGCTATTCAACAAACATGGATGCTCGGGCTAGCTGAGCATACACACATGCACACTCGCCAGGATTATACGCGCGCTTGTTAGCTCTAGTGACTTTAGCTACGCCCGCCGCCTGCGTAAATCTAAGCTAGGAGGTCTTCAGGCACAGCGGCTGCATGTGCGCGTGCATACACCACCGCCCGCAGAGCTACGAGCTAACCCGCATGCAGTGCGCACCCGCTGAGTCACTCGCACCACGTACGCACCAGCGGGCGAAAAGACGCCACTCGTATATAGCAACTTAGTACTTACGGCGCCGAAGATGTTGAAACCGATGAATGTGAAGCGCACGCACTGCGTGCAGGTCCCGTAGTCGGCATTACTGGAGAGGCGCCCCATTATTCTTGCTCAGTGACTTCTACAACGTGTTGCGAAAATAGGGGAGAGCTGTTAGCTAGATCGCCGATAAAACACACTGCGCAATCTGCCAGTGCACGTAAGAGAGATATAATCACGCGTGACGTCATTGCCGGTTGCTTGGTGGCCACAGGAAAATGTATTGCAACCGCCCGTTTTCAAAGTCTCGCGAGGCGCGCGCAGTACCGCATATTCATAGAGCGCAAGCTAATATTTTACCTGGCCATCAGTACAGCAGTCCACAGGACGAGGATCGGAGCAACCGCGCGATGATTGCGCAAAAATCGCTCGCACATGCGCAGTTAGTATCGTTCGCATATATCACGCGCGAATTTTCTTCAGTAGACTTCCGAATTCTTGTTAGTTTTCACAGCACATACACAGAGGTACATAGCAATCACGATGGCTCCAACCTAAATGAAAGGGAGAAGAATTTGCGTTTGAAATAATTATGGACAAACTAAAAGTATAATACCTCAATCGTTCCCACAGCAACACCTGCCACACCCACTGAAATTGCAATTATCTCCAACTCATCTTCAACCAGATTCAAGCACCCCTGTAATAGTAGATAATTTTAGTGGAGGAGGAATATCCCGCCAATATAATTATCATACTCGGAAATAGCAATATCTAGTTTATTCAGATGTTCTAAAGCATTGATCCAACTGTCTTTCATTTACTCAATCTAATCATATAGCATCATACACTTACTCTCTCCCAAGCATAGTACTGAGACTGCCGTGAACTGAATGAATTTGGAGGAAAGTAAGTAAAATTGAAAAACTGGCAGTTGGTTTCTGTTGTATTAGAGCAGAGGCATTCGTCTGGTGGCTGGTGTCCGGAGGCGAGAAACACGGTAGGATTGAGATCCAACCAATCCAGACTTCCATTGACACCGCAGCATTCAAACTGTTGAGAGAGGAAATCCAGTACAAAACCATTTAGTATATATATAATGTGAGCTTAATAGGACAAACGTGTAGAGTATGCCTCCTCCACATGTCCATTAGATGGGGTTATAATACTAGTCGCTAATACGTTATACATCATTATCTGCTTCTTAAAGCAGATACCAATGGTCTAAAGTGTTAACAAACCACACATAAATGTGTCCAGAGCCTCAAGGTGCAATACACTCTCCTGGCCACCAGAGTCTATTATTTTAAGGCATTAATCGGTACATGCTGCTATCTAACACACTTGACTAGCTAGTATTATATTATAGTAACCCTCTCTTGGATGTAGTCGACAGCATTGTTAGCCTCTTTTCTCCTGTCGTAGCCTTCTTGGTCTGATGTAGCTCTGTACTCCTCTATAGCATCCACCATTCTCCCCTCCAAACTGTCGTTCTTGTATAATAATAATAAAATAGAGTATTTAGACAGTATTATTATTTGGCTACTCACAATATCTTCTCTGTAGAGGAAACTGATAGTCCCTGCTGATATTTCAGAAATTGCTATGAGTGCAACCAGTAAAATATACTGGAGAAGAGAAGGGGAAAAAATATTGTAATTGCTGCATTTGAAATAGGTGGTATGTAGCTATGTTCTCCAATCCACTTATCAATGTTGGTGCGGATGTGTGCTCACGGTCACAAGAACTGGTCGCCACATTCCGTAAGCTCCAACCATGCCCAGTGCTGCCACGACAACTGCCACGCCCCCTCCCAGCACCAGCAGTGAGGCCCCCGAAACAATACTGCCACTCCCAGTTATGACGTCATAGTCATTCTCTTCCCTCACGTACAGGAGCCACGCCCCCAAAGCAAACACTGCGAGACTTATAACCTGTTTAGTGTAAAAAAACACTCTTTAATGCACATGTTATGATTAGAGAGCACTTTATACAGAAATAAAATAGCTAGAATGGAAGTTTCAAACTGAAATTGCGATCGCCTACAATGGCTAGAGAGCTACATAGACACGGCTAGCTAGCTGGATGATGGTCGAGGCTTACCCAGAAGATGCAGTTGAGGGTAAAGAAGGCGATACGGACGCAGTTTACCGCGTTGCTGAATCGTCGAGCCATTTGTTTCGACGGATAGTTGTGGTAGCTATGGTCCCCGCGCCGCCCCCGCTCTGCTCGAGCCCCTCCTCTTTTTGCTTGCGTCTAACGTACGCTACTGCGCATGCGCGTGCACTGAAACGTATCAAAGTCGATATTTCATACAAAAATGTGTCTGTAGATGGGTAAAGGGAGCTATATAATATGGTTTTTTAGCTGGTGTATAAGAAAGATAGCAATTCCAATGTATATACAAGTGTTTTTCTAGGCGTAGTTGTTCTTCTGGTGTTTGTGGACGGCACCGCACAGACAGAAGGCTAGCACGGCAAACGATATCTGTGGCAGAAATATAAGAGACGGTAAAACACAGATATATTGAGAGGAAAAAAACTTAGCAATGCTGTAAAACAGTAGAGTCTCTAGGGGCAAAATGTTTGGATTTGGTGCACTTACTGGACACCTCAGTGATTTCATATGTTAGTGTATCTGACAATTTTCACATTTGGAGGCACCACTATTTTAAGGTATATATCAAGCTAGTTTCTTTACCTCTATGATGGCGATAACGATGCCAATCACACCGTTGATGAGGCTAGAGCCTTCCAGATAGTCTTCCAGGAGTGTTTGACATCCCTGGGAGAAATGTACGGTGCATTTAACCAACGCCTAATGGTTCACAATATTGAATTGAAGCTGTAGTTTATCTGTAAGTGTAGGCATTTCAGTATGCTTCCGTTGGCCTTCATTAATATACCAACCACATGACACCATAGCACACTTAGCAGTAGATAGCATGCGAGAGTCGATACGCGCCCTTCGTTGTGACTTCTTGTGCCTTCAAGATACACTAAGCAAGCGGACCCGGTCGAGGATCGTTGTATGAAAATATTGGAGAGGGGTTATCCCTAAGCTTCTATGGTTTCACCGTATCTGCAATCATGAATGGCATATCACGGGAAAACTTACGCAGCAACACATAAGGACTTGCGTCTCAACCCGCCAACAGCACACTTACCCTGTCCCACACATTGATGGTGTTTGGGTAGCTCGTGCCATTCACCACCACGTCAATTTCAACTCCGACATTGCAGTTAGGTTGGTCGCGATCGCAGAAACAGCGGGCCGGGATTATGACTGAGTTCTCAACGATGGCCTCTGGATTCAGTGTTAGCCAATCAGTGTAGTTGTCAACACCGCAGCATTCGAACTGGGGAGGGAGAAGGGGGGAGGTAATGGGTTAAATAAATAATAAGTACAGAAACTAAGGAGAGAGTAAATTAGGTAATCCTAACTACGTAGAATTTTGAAACTATAGAAACTATAGGGGGACCTAAGGGGTTTTAATTAATGACAACATATTTTTATGGCTTAGTTAATGCAAAAATTTCGGGTTCTTTAGAGCTTTAGTTGATCATAACTACAATAGCTACATAGATAAGAGAACATGTGGAAATTATTAAGTACCACATAAACTAAAGCCTTCTGAGTAAAAGTAATTAGATGGAGGGACTTACAAATCCTTGAGCAGTCTCGACTGCAGAGTTGGTGGTTGTGTCGTAGTCGGTGCTGTTGTCGTTGAACCGGTAGTTACGTATGGCTCTTATCATGTTGTCACGTATTTCATCATTCTACCGTCAGAATAATAATATTATTATAGCCCCATACATCTATGATGCTAGGTACCATGCCCATCCCTATAGATACTGAGTACTACCGTACTTAGTGATTCCTAAATACCATCATCAGAGTAGCTACTAGTGGTAAAGGGAATGGGGCGGTATAATAAGGGTTAAATTTAGAAACTTTTACTGAAAACAGAAACTTAATTGCATCCTTGCGTCGGGCCCTATTGTTTAGCTCTATATTTAGTAACATTTTAGCCCTTATGTAATGCCACGTTCCCGTTTAAGATTTGTTATACTTACGGCTTCTTCGGTGAAGACAAAGGCAAGTATGGCTCCAACTATTTCTATGATGACAATAACGATCACTGCCACTGCATACTGCAACAATGAAAGGGGAAGTACCTATAATTAATAGTTAGTATCGTAGGGTTGAACCCTCGAATCGGGACAACCAAATGGGAAGAAACAAAGTGTCCGCTATCAGTGGTGTGTCTTTATTTCAGTGGTTATAGCTACTTGGAGAAATAAAATGTTTCCTTATTAGAGAGGTGTCCTCACGGGTGTCCTTAGAGAGATATAATATACTGGACTACCAGAAGATGGAAAAGGAGAAGAGGGTAGCTACACATAAAACTCAGAAGAACTGAAGGAGTTAATGCACTCACGATGACAAGAAAAGATCTCCACATTCCAACAGCGCCGCAGAAGCCAATGATAGACACGAAAACCGTGATCGCTCCAGCCACGAGAAGCAGCACGGCTCCCGAAATGAGGTTGCCCCCTGTTAACGCCTCATAATTGCCGTCCACTGCTATCACAACTCCCCACACTCCCACAGCTAGAGTCAGCAGACCAAACACCTAGGATCTGCAGAATAGCAAAAAAAAATTTGAAACCACTTCACGGGGCGTTTGGGCATTTGGAAGGGGAGGGCAGAAGAAAACAACTTAGCTAGAATGACAGCAATAAGCTGACGATAATAGGCAGAGGTTGTTGAGCTTGCTATCTTCTTCAGACCAATTTGTGGTTTCCAAATGCTTCCACAAGAAAAGCAGAAATAGAATAAGGCTATTTTTAGCACATTTCCGCCAAATCTTATCAGATAAAGTTATTCACGAGCCGTCGGGCTCTCCCCCGCACGGCTGTGAATAAAGCCTGTCATAGGTGTGGTTCTGTTTGCGCGCCTCCTCTGTCTTTGGTTGTTAGCCGCCGAGACGATCGCGAAATCGCTAGCTAATAACATTATGCAACTTCTACTTTAACGCATCCGGATATAAATATTAGTGTAACTTTTACAAAAACCTGAAAACACCCGAAAACAACTACGACACGTCGCCACAATGCCGCGACGATCGCGCGGGGAGCTCCGCGCTTACCAAGAATATGACGTTGCATGCTGCCAAAGAAGTGGCGAAGACAGTTGGTGGCCTTCGAGTACTTTGTGTCTCCCATTTTCCTTCGCCAATTCTCTCTTTCTCTCTCTTTGTCTCTTCGCTCGGGCGGTATTAATTTACACTAAAGAGGGCGTACACCTACTACACACCTACACCTCTACGTTGGTATTTTTCGCGCGCGCGCAATACCTTTGCGCATGCGCAGGTTTGTATTAACTGTGCGAGGGGTGTGTGTGTGTGTGCGAGATGACATCTACCAATAATATAAAGTAGGCTGTGCCATTATACAGGTGGATATGAAGATATGCTATGCATGCCGGTTAATTAATGGCATAAAAAGTACGTTGCTGCCTTTTGGTTCTGTACTGATTTAGCCTCTTTGAGTTGATCTTATGCAGCAGCAGAGACTAATGGCTAGCACCATCAGGAGAGTCTGCACGGAAAAAGAGTGAGACAATAATGAAAGAGAGAGAGTGGTAGTAAAAGACAATGTGTGAGAATGGGAAACACAAGGATAAAGGGCTCAGTCAGCTGACTCAGCTCATGCTCACTTCATAATGAACAAGGAAAGAAGGAGAGAGTGTCAGTAAAAATGAGAAAGAGAAGGGACAGAGAGTATTCAAAAAGAGAGAGGCTGAACTCATGGTCACCTCAATAACGGCAAATGCGATTCCAATGACTCCAATCACCAGCATCACAGCTCTAACGTTCTTCTCCATCAGTGCTATGCATCCCTGACGACAGAGAAACAAGAGAATAATAAGGACAAATTCATGTAATTGTCAGTAGAGACTGTAAAAAAGGAAACCACAGTATTAATAATGCAACATTATTCTACCAAACTTTGTGTTAAACACCCTTATTAACATTACTCTTTTACTGCATCATTATGAATCATAGACAGTAGAACATGAGAAGGGGCAGGGGTGTTATTATGAAGGAATGATCCTTTCGTCTAATCTCTGTCCAGATTAGCCAGCTATAGTGGTAACATTGTCTTTCCAGGCATTAGCCAGTTATTATGAGATTAGTAAAGTAGAGTAGTTATTTTGAGAGCATACGTCTTTCCAGGCATTGTAGGTGATTCTGGTACCGATGGAAAACTTTGCACATTTGCTGTTGCTGAGATCACATGAGCAGCCGCCGGGAGGAATTCCGTTGTTGTTGGTAACTGCTTGCTGATTGAGGTCAAACCAGTCGGTGCTCCCGTCCAGACCACAGCATTTGAACTGTGTGTGTGTGTGTGTGTAATAATGTGTGGAACCCCTTGTAATTAATTAACAATTTGATCATCTCTGTAAAGTATAAAGTGAATCTGGCAGTACGTATATAAAGGATACATTAATTAGAAATGGTACTAATTATAATGGGTATAATACCAGTCTCACTCTTTGTTTGGAGAGAAGAATGAGTAACTAGATAGCTTTTACTCACCACGTCTTGGACATTTTCGACGGCATTGTTGGTGTCTTTCTGGTAGTCAGGGTCATCCTTATCGACCCGATAATCCTCAATAGCACTCTTCATGTTGGTCCTCAATTCCTTAGTCTGAATGTATATGGGTAAGATGTATATAGTCGATCATTGATCTAAAACGCACGTTTTACCAACAAGATTTTTCACAGTAAAGATATATGCCATAGAGAGAAGAGTATCGTGGGTTCGAATCCAACCCTGGGCAGCTCTATCTCCCTTTTTTCTTTGAAAAAGAACAGTCATCCTTGGTATAGTTGACTTGTTTGCTATATATGCCTTTGCCTTTCCACCTCACCTTGCTGTTGTCGTATATACGCTGATATCTTTCCTCTTTGACATACACTTTTGATACGACTCACAATGTCGTTTCTGTAGACAAATGCGAGGACAGCAGCTGTGATCTCTAGAATTATGACCAGCAGCACTGCAACTGTGTACTGTGGGAAGAAAGAAGGAAGAAATCATTACCATCATTATTGACTATATGTACAACTGTGATTCACACGCCATTCTATTTCCATGCAACGATTTGCACGAATGTTCATTGCACAGACCCTGGCTGCATTCTACCAATCCTTGGAACCAGGAGTGAGTTTTAGTGGAGGAACAGAGAGGGCGGGAGTATATAGAGGAGAGAGAGAAGAGAGAGGGAAGGAGGGGAGAATGTCCAACAGTTTACGTAGCACAAATACTTGTGTGAAAACAACATATACGGTAGTCAAATTGTCAGTCTGGGACATAGCTACAATCTCACAGAGTTTCCTGCCCGCCATATTATGATAATTATGATGCAAATTTCAGGAGACTTTCATAAGACGGGATTTGCATGCAAAGTTGCATCCATGTGTATGTTGGGCTTTAGCTACTACTATATATGGAACTGGTCCCCTAATTTTTTTATCGTAAAGTTCAGCATCATACTTTCAACTTTCGGTCCTTTTCAGTCATTCAATCTCTCTGTATATGTATATATCACACACTGACTGACTTACTACGATGAGCACAGGTCTCCACATGCCCCAGGCTCCACAGATCCCGACGGCAGCTATGACAAGAGTGATAGCCCCGGCAGAGAGTAGAACAGCTGCCGCCGAAATAGTATTGTCTCCGGTGATGACATCATAGTCTCCCTCTTTACCCACCACCAGACCCCATATCCCTATGCCCGTGGTCACAGCTCCTAGAGCCTGCGAGAAAGGGAGACAGGGGGAGAAGAGAGGGATAGGGGTAAGGAGGGAGGAGGGGGAGAAGTGATGAAATACAGAGGGAAGAGAAAAAGAAAGGGGTGAGTATATAAGAGAGGAAGAAAAGAGAAGGGAGAGAGGGAGAAAAAAGAGGGTATATCCAGACAAAAGGAAAAGAAACTGCAAGCTCTTTTCAATCAAGTATAAAAACGGCAATACTTTGGCAATAGAGGGAAAATCTCTTTAGAGAATCGGGCCTGAGACTTTTATATTGCACGTGTACTACAGCTCTTGCAAATAAAGAAACACACATTTGGCAGACGACCAAAGGCAAGTCCATATAAAGTAAATATTACAGCCATGACATCACACGTTTGTCTACGACATTCTGCCACACCGAGTCGAGTGAATTATTGTACTTACCACACTTTCCGTGTCACACAGCCTGGACTAAAGTGTCTGAAAAAGGTATTATAGCTGATCACCAGGCTGGCCACGAGCCCAGATGATTCATGCAGCTTTTTGGCACCAACAGAGCATTGCTATGCCTCCCCTCTACATTGTTCCCATACCTCTAACGTCTTATATATAATATGTAGCTACAGCCTGATATTTCCCTTGGCTATTTCCTATACTATTGGCTATGATCTTTTCAAAGGTAGCTATGACATGTATATGTAACTGTTCAAAAAGTAAGTAGGTAACAGAGTGCTTTGCTAATCAAACGCTCACTAAAACAGTAAGATTTTTCGCAGCACGCTACACCTTAATGTCGTGTATGATAACACCCAATGATACTTTACTATTGAAGTAAAAGATGGTAGCTAATACGCTCGTAAACACAGCCGAGAAATGTACTACATTTGTTACGAGCGTACTAGCTACTATAGGCTGACGTGAGAGATCTTACCAGAAAAGACGAAGTTACAGATGACAAAGAACCATCGCACGCAGTTGGTTCCCGGTCCGTAGGGTGACGAAGCCATCTAGCGCGACCAAGAAAGAGTTCTGGCAACTGGGAAGGAGAGCTTGGATTCGCACTGTGGGTCCTGCGCATGCGCAAAGCACAGCGCGTAAAGTGCACGCGCGCGCATGAGCGGCTTGACCCACTTGATGTCACTTTTTGCATCTACGAATAAATCCTACTGCTGTACCAGTCCATACGCATAGTTATCAGTCACAGGGATTTTGCTCTCGTCCCTTGCACCAGTATTCCCCTCTCCAACGGCTGTAGTAGAGGCGTATTCAACATTGCCTTTCAACTGATCGTCTGCTGGAGTTATGCCATAGGCAACATTTTCAGTTGTGGTTGGCGGCTTCCTCATCCTTCGTCTCAGACAAACTATCACGGATGTAAGGATGATGGCTCCAGCTAAAAGCACAATGATCAAAGAAACACTCACACCTACACTTATAAACACTCCATTTCCTGTTGCCCCCGTTGATTGTGTAGGTGTTGGTTTCATTGTGGTGGCTTTCGGCAGTTGAATTCCTACAGAACTGGAGAGCGTTACGGAATGTTCAATTTTCAGTTCTCCAATACAAGATGATGGTGGTGTAATCTGCAGCAGTAGATAGTATAGTTAACTCAGTTATCAAACGTACTCTAGTGTAACATACCATTGGTACTGGGGTAGGGGCTCTCACTGCAATTCAAGAATAGGAGAGAAATAAAATTATACAAACTTGTATGATAATATATATAATAGTTCCACTGAACATCCTAATGTCAGAAAATTCGTTGGAGTATAGTAAGGCTCATAATTATTAGCAAACTATACCACTGCCTATAGCCCCAAGAGTATGTTGATCCGACGTATCTTTTATCTGTAAGTTGTGTGTACATAGGGTCTAGTCTAATCAGTCTCTATCTTCAGTGATCTCATGGACTGAGCCCTTACGACCCCACTCTATGTAAACAAGTATACACAACAAAGGTATATACCTATTTCCACGGACACGAGGGGGTAATAGGATGCTGTTGACAGTGAAGGCTCATTGTTCTGTCTGTCTAGCTCTTCATAAGGAGATGATGTGGCGGAACTGTCAGTAGAACGGTAGTAGACTTTGGGATTGTTACTGTTGTCATTCTCAGATGAGAGACGAAGTCTGGAAGGGGAGTATGAGGGTGTAAATATTCCCATAACATCCCCTGATTCAACTGGTATTGGTGCAAATTTGGTGTATTCATAAATTCTATTAGCTCTCATATTAAAAGGAAAAAAGACGTAAGTTCCGCTTATTTTCCGATATGTGTCACTTCCAACATTTCTCCAGACTTGAAGCTCAGGATAGAGGTATGCACTAGCACTAGAAGTCCAATCAGCTCCAACGATCCATTTGGTAATCAACCCATTACACGTGATCTTTATCTCTGGTGAGATCTGCTGACGTTGACTGTTGTATTCGATGCCATAGGTGCCATCCACACCCAGAAGTAGCCTTATTCTCTCCACACTCACAAAACCTCTCACACAATCTGTAGAATCTGTAAAAAATATTTACCAGTCATTCATAACAACAGTCATCATAGCTACTATAAAGTCAGCTCACTTGTGATGGCATTAACAAGTATTTGATATCTGGTAGACATTGTTCCCCAAGGTAGGTAGAGGTTACTGGCAGGGCTCGAACCAATGTAGAAATAGCCAGTTTGATTTTTCCTTTGTCCACCATCTTCAAATCGCAATCTCAGCTGACTCTGGGAAGAATGGGGTTGGTAATAACCAAACACGTCGCCAGCTTGGAAGTCAGGGGAGCATGGAGAGGGGATACTTAGAGAACTCCGAGGTGATCCTGTCAGTTATGATTGTAGTGTATCCAACTTTAGTGTAGGCTCCTGGATCCCCAGTAGGTCTCCATATCTGTAGCTCAGTAAACTCTCTGTCATCCTCTCCCACTGAGCTCCAAACACCCAGCCCTCAATACTGCCACTGCACGTGAACGACTTCTGGAATATTCCCTGATAGTTCTCACTAGGGATCAAACTGCCATCATTGTCCAGCAAGTCGTCCATTCTGTCCACACTCATAAACCCACTCGTACAGCCATCGCCTGAAAATGATATATATGTAACTACAACGTAGTGTCGGCAACTATTCGCTAGCTAATTAATATTATATATATACCTTCTTGTTGTCTGGCAAGGTTTCGCATAGAAGAGCGAGAGCACACGCCTGCAACACAACGCAAACTACCGTCACTTCATCACTGACACTCCGTCAAAGGCCGACCTAGCCTTTGATCCGGATCCCTCGTCCGAAAAAACTCCCACGCGTAATTTTAGCGTACGGAGCATGCGCGCGTAGAGGGGTGTCCGCGCATGCGTGCGGGATTGCGCGCGCCTGCCTTTCTTGTTACGCTGTTTTATGTAACTAAGCGCATGCGCAGCGTGGACTACACGAGCGACGGTGTCAGCCAGTATAATAGCGTGAGTATCAACGGGGGCACATATTCTTCACTAGTTTGCTGGGAAGAGCGTTACCAATGCGCTGAGAGGCCAGCTAATAAGGCCATTTTGAAGATTGGCAACCTCACAGATTGCAAGCATCATGATCGCGAAAACTCACACCAGAATATTTCCACCCATTGTGGCACACCCACTCATGTACTCAAGTAGTGATTATTAAACTTTAACATAATTATTATTGTGTATGATTAATGATTGTATGTGAGCCTAAATCAATAAAAAATCACTAAATCTAACAGTTGTATTAATATAGGCAGTGTCTGAAAAAATGGCAGGTGGCAAAGAGAGAAGATTATGTTTTGTAGTTGCTATGGCGACTGGTTGCCTAGACGACAGACTGGCGGTTGGCGGAGTAGATACAGCAGCAGAGACCAAACGCCATCACCAGCAGAAGAATCTATTAATAATAAACATAATTTCATCATCATCACTGCGACTGGGCTTGTGTAAGGCCGATGACATCGTTGCAACATTATTATGGCTAATTACTGAGATAAATTGCAGGGGTTTACCTCGCATAACGACAAAGACAATGGAGATAACACCCACTGCAATGCCAACTGCTTCCAAATTGTCTTCCAGTTTCTGGGCACATCCCTGAAAATGGAAGGAAATGGTGATGAGGTAATAGCTACTAAAAATAGCACAAAACACGCAATTACAGTGATCAATAGTTGTTAATCTTTCTCTATTCACTTTGCTGTTGCTAGGTAACAAGGAGTAAGTATGGGAAGGCAAGGAAAGCAAGGAAACACTAATAATAGGCAACGATTACCTATTTTTAGAAGCTTTCCTAGCATTCACTTAGCTACATTTGGCTCTTAGTCACAGCCCTGTGTGTCAGGGAAATTCCAGAGCCCTGCTAAATAAAGGCTGCTAAAAAAAGAACTTGGGGTCTTCCAAAAATAGCTGCATACTTCTGCCCATTAATGGATAGGGACTATTGTTCAGACACCATACCATTGAATTTGATATAGACCTCATAAATTCGATGCCCCTTGGAAGTTTTAAACAAAATTATCTGTGGTCACTTGTCTATTGCTAAAATGTGATGCATAAAATTTAGTTTTCCTTGGCAGTTAATAATGAGCACATAAATACACGTATGCAGCATTTTACTTACATCTTCCCAGGCTCTGAACGTTCCGTAGCTTATACATCCGTCTTCATCGGAGCAGATACAGGACGGTGGCGGCGCGTTCTCGTTGAGACGGAACACCGTCGGGTTTAGACGCTGCCAGTCTGTCGCATTGTCCACTCCACAACAATCGAACTAGAGAGAGAGAGAGAGAGAGAGACAGAGAGAGATTTTTAGGAAACTGTTGCGATTTCACTTTGAGAAAGCTTGCCACATCAAAACATGTTGTCCTGCTGCCCTCTTCCATGCAAGAAATTTGCAAAGTCACTTTTTTTTAAGTTTCCTACAATACTATACACAGCTGGGTGATATGTAATCTTGGGTGCGATACGTCCAGTGCCACACCCGGTGACATCCAACAGCTAAACCATAACAAAATCATCGATTTTCCGATTCTCAAATCCTACAAACTGGTAGGTAGGTCCGCATCAACTCACTGTATCTTGGACGTTGTCCACGGCACTGTTGACGTCTTCATCGTAGCCTTCAGATGTGTCGTTGAAACGATAGTCAGTGACCGCGTCTTCCATTCTCTCCCTTATTTCATCGCTCTAAAAACGGACACACAAGACGACAAAAGTCAACTTTTACTACTATTGCATAGCTACATAACACTTGGGTCTTGAACGTAAGTAAGTGTGTAAGAAGTGCTGGCACGGATAGCTTTCTTCGATTGGTTACATCTTTAACCCTTTGGACGCCATGGGTATCTCCTTAAATTTGATGTATAAAGTATCAGCGCCTAGTATTATTACCCCATATAAATTCTTATGGACTTATAGAGCCTCTGGACACATTACTTTTATGTGTCGGTGGCTGGCTAAGTGTTAAGTCGAAACTGATTACAGTGCTCCCATGCTATTTGTTGTTAAGCCCAAAGCTTCTTTTCATTAGCAGACTTTCACATTATCAGGACAAGCATGTGTGTGTGAGTGAGAGTGTGTGTGAGTGAGAGTGTGTGTGAGTGTGAGTGTGTGTGAGTGAGAGTGTGTGTGAGTGTGAGTGTGTGTGAGTGAGAGTGTGTGTGAGTGTGAGTGTGTGTGAGTGAGAGTGTGTGTGAGTGTGAGTGTGTGGACTGCGTAACTTACGATGGTGTCCACAAACACGAAAGCCAGAATGGCAGCCACAAACTCCAGAATGATGATAACCACCAATGCTATAATGTACTGTGAGTGGAGGAAGAAGATAGAGTGAAAGTAACGCATGGCCTGATCGAAAGTTTTTACTATCTGGTATGTACGTTTGACCTCAACAGATGGTGCTCAACACAGGGGAAGGATAGGGAAGAAGGATTAAGGGAGGAGAGGAAGGTAAGGTGAATAAATAGAGAAATCCAAGAGCTAGCTGCCCATCATTTCGGGCCCACCTCTGCGCTCTCAGAAAGTGGGTCTCGTTAGCCTCCTTGATTACCCCCAACCTACCCTCCATTATATATCGGTTGGGAAAGAGAGAGAGAGAGAGAGGGAGAAAATGGAAAGTGTGTGTTAGCTTTTGGATAGAAAAAGAGGAGAAAGGATAAGAGGGAGTGAGGGAGGTGAGAGAGAGAGAGGGAGAGTGACTTACAATTATAAGAAGAGGCCTCC